TGGTCGAGGCCACAGGACAGCTGCAGGACAAGATCTGTCCAGATCATCAGAAACTGCGAGAGGTTTACTGCCGGACGGACCAGACCTGCGTCTGTCTACTGTGCTCAGAGACCAGACACAGAGGCCACGACACCGTGTCCACTGAGAGAGAGTGGACTGAGAAACAGGTGAGGACTTGAACCCTCTGCTAGGTGCTCTTTGGCCCAGAACATGGATACACTGACAACAGTGTACACTAGTCACTATTCATTGGGATCATGTTGTTTCCGGCTTCGGGAACGTTAAAAATATCATCTGAAGACTAAAGAAAGCATCTGATATACACTATGGGCCCTGTCAGTGCCATCTGTGACTGAGATAGAAACTATTCAATTGTTTGAATTGGTTCTTTCACTGGGCTTCTGGTCTTTCAGGCTCGTCTGCACTCCTCCCTGCTCAAGTGATCAGGTGCTCAGGTGTTTAGGAGGTCAGGTGATCAGGTGGTCAGGTGTTGTTCAGGTGCTGCTCAGTTGCTCAGGTGCTCAGTGTCTGCGTTTCTCCACAGAGGCAGCTGCAGGAAATACAGACACAAACCCAGCGGAAAATCCAGGAGAGAGAGAAGAAGCTGCAGGAGCTGAGACAGGCTGGGGAGTCTTTTAAAGTAGGTATTGAGCAGAGGAGTGGACACACTGGCAGCAGGTCTGAGGTCTCGGGACACAGCTGTGATTAGTGCACATCTCCTCCTCCAGCTAAGAGTCAGACACACTGAACACACACACCTGCTTACAGCAGACAAGTCGTTGGCAAGACATTCTCAAGCATGCATGATCTGACAAGCGTGAGGTCTCCTGTGAGGACGTGTTCTTCAGAGGTGGACATCACTGTGATGTGAGGAACACAGCAGTGAAAGCAGCGATGTCATGCCCTGTACATTCATTACCTTTGTCACAATATAATGAAAGCTTTGAGGAGATGACAACAACCAAGTTCAACCAGCCCCAGCTGTCAGTAATCTGTAATAATAATAATAATAATAATTGCTTACATAATAATTGCTTACACTTATATAGCGCTTTTCTGGACACTCCACTCAAAGCGCCACCTGGATGATGCGACAATTTTTTTTCCAGAACAATATACAGGATTCTTAAAAGACCAGTGTTGGCAAACATTTGTGCTTATTCATTGATCTTCTTCCTGTATGTTTCCCACTGTCTCTCCCCACCCAGAGATCTGCACAGAAATCACTGTTGGAAACTGACAGGATCCTTAAGAACATGATCCTCTCTTTTGAGAAAATGCGATCTAAGATTAAGGAGCAGTTTGAACTCA